TCCATCAACTTCCTTGGTAAATTGTGACGGAAAACTAATCTGCTTTACAGATAAGGAGATTACTCATACTAAAGGGAGAAACTAAGCACATAGTTGAACATATAAATTATGTTCTAATGCTATTTCAAGTTTCAACTCCGAGCCTAAGTATTAAGTGGAGTTGTGCAATTCTTTTTGGTGTACGCCAATTTGTATCTTCTCGATCTTTGATGTTAGTTGTTGTTCCTCGGTTAGCCATGAAGAAACTCAGATGTTTGATATTAATATCTTTTCTGTATTACGTTCTAAGTTCTCATTTTGGATGCTTCTTTGGTTAGACCTAAAAGTATCTTGTTATCATTACTTAGCAATTTTGGCAAGCTAAAGTTCCTTTGCATTTGAATTAAAAAAGAAAGTTTGTATAATTCCTGTACTTTTGTTGCTAGAAAACTTTCTCAAAATCCTCTTATTGATGAAAAAGTAGTACTAGTATGCATATTTTCCTTTTCTTTAGCTGAATTTCGTCTAATCAATGTGTCTTCGTAACAATTTTGACAGGATATATTACGATTTCATGCTGTTTATTGGCCAGCGATGTTAATGTCAGCAGGTATTGGCCTTCCTAAGATGGTATTTGGCCATGGATTCTTGACCAAGGTATGTATGTTTTTGAAAATTTTACTCTTTATTTGTCTTGATCCTGGAAGATCTGGCTCTTCTACATTGTTTGAGTTGTAGTTTGTTATTACCTATTCCATCTCATTACCAACCACCCCTCCAAAAAACAAAAAAAAGAAAAGAAAGGGCAGCCCGGTGCACAAAGCATCTTGCGTTCACGCATGGTCCGGGGAAGGGTCGCACCCCAAGGGTTGTGATGTAGGCAGCCTACTCTGATGCAAGCATCGATGGTTGATTCCACGGCTCGAACCTGTGACCTATAAGTCATACGGAGACAACTTTACCGTTGCTCCAAAGCTCCCCTCCCCAAAAAAAAAAATAAGGAAAAGCAAAACACTAGAAAAGAAGATGAAACAGTAGATGAAGTTCTTATATGTTTGAGGAGTTTCTTACTAATGCACCAATATTATATCTGCTGCGATGTAGTTCTGATTCTTCTTTCATATGAAACTTTGGATAAGCATGCAGCAAAATGTTTCTGCGAATGATAAAATTCTGTTCAAATGCAAAAGTCCTCCGGTGGAGATAATTTTGTATTTTTCTCTCTGGACTGCATTAACATTAGTCCATAATGTAATAAACTTAGTCCCTATAAAGGTTAAACTTAAGAATTGCATTCATATGATTTACTATTTCAAGCTATGTAACTTAGATAAAAGCATATAGGCAAGCGTGCAAGTTATGCTAATTAATCTTACAGACTATTACATTTCATGATTTCATGTAGCTGTGCTTCTATTTTTGAAATTTTAGGATGGCATGAAGATGGGTAAGTCACTGGGAAATACACTTGAACCAACAGACTTGGTTCAGAGGTTTGGACCTGATGCGGTGAGGTACTTTTTCCTCAGGGAGGTAGAATTTGGTAATGATGGTGACTACTCAGAGGAACGGTTCATCAACGTCATAAACGCACATTTAGCTAATGCAATTGGTACTTAATTTGTTCTGAATATGTTGCATTGCCAGTTGATTCTGATTAAATCACTTTTTGGAGCTTAGGCATGGATATTATGTCTGATCCTAGCATTATTAATGCAGGTAATCTTCTAAACCGCACACTCGGACTACTGAAAAAGAACTGCCAATCAACTCTGGCGGTTGATTCATATGTTGCGGCTGAAGGAAACAAATTCAAGGCTACGGTGGAAAAACTGGTAAACACATCTCTATTTTCATAAGATGAGAAATCTTCAAAAATGTTTCTCTGGCATGATCTGTTTGTGAAAGTTTTCAACGCTGAGTAGTCTTTTTCTTCTCTTGGCGAATTTGCTTTTTAACTATTTTGTTCTAAAGGAGATAGTTAGGATCTTCAAGAGATGTTCCTTAAGATTATAAAATATGGTGGCTAGCCCAAAAGTTGTCTGAACTATGAGAAATTACGTGATCTATGCTGGTATCAATAACAGTTGGTATACATCACTAAATCTAATCTAAAACTAGAACTGCAACGCAAACTCGCAAAGTCTTCTATGAAGCTAGATGATTATATGCACTTCTTTAGGACTTCTATTCCTTGAGTTTGAAGCAAAACGAAAACAGCGGACAAGAAAAAACCTAATTTTTCTTTAAGTTTGATGATATCATGTATTCTATTTATAGGTAGAGAAGGCACGCGTGCACTATGAAAATTTGGAGTTATCAGCAGCTTGTGAGACTGTGCTGGAGATTGGTAATGCTGGAAATTCGTACATTGATGAACAAGCACCGTGGTCTCTTTTCAAGAAAGGGGAGACAGCCTTTGAAACTGCAGCAAAGGTACTTTTCCAAGTGTTTTTGGTCTTGGAATTCATCTTATTGTATTTTAAAAAAGACGAAGCACAATCTATTTTTTCTTGAATACAATCATGATAAGATCTGAGCCATGCCCATTTTCTTCATTTGTTTCCTTAAATTTCTCCACTACGGAACTGATTGATTATTTATTAGGATCTTGTGATTATATTGGAAGCAATGAGAATCATAGCAATCGCGCTATCCCCAGTAACGCCAGGCTTAAGCTTGAGGATATATTCACAACTTGGCTACACTGAGGACCAATTCAATGCTGTTAACTGGGTACATTGATCTTTCTTTCGTTATATTTTTTTTCCAATTTCTAGCAAACCCCGAAACATCTTTGGAAGTGATCGAGTGTATCTTGTTTCAGAGTGATACCAAATGGGGCGGGCTGAAAGCTGGTCAGGTAATGGCACAGCCAACACCTATCTTTGCCAGAATAGAAGATGCAACTGAAGCAGAGACCAAAGGTGCAGCAACTAAGAAAGTTAAAAAAGAGAAGGTGCCAAAAAGTAAGAGTCCTGTGGAAGCTTAGAACTCTTTTTCATTGTAGTCCTTCTAATGCCTTTTTACTTCCTCTCTGAAATGTAAGACGAAGATTCTTTACCGACCAATAGGTATCTAGTGATATTCATTTACATAATTAATTCTTTTTGATGAAGAATATAATCATTTACATAAATATATTGTGTGATACTGCTAGTTCTCAGATGCCTGGAGTTTTAACCAACACCATTTAATCTTTACAGTTTATATGTTCCAAGGCAAAGTAGCAACATTGCACGTTTTTGGGCTTAATCTAGTGATAAGAGCGCAATGCGTGATGTTTGAGTTACACACATTATGAGTACGCAATGCGTGATGTTTGAGTTAGATGCACATTATGAGTACGAGCCATAGACAAATAGTTTGGTGTTTTAAATGAGAATGTTAGAGCTCATCATCCATAGAGTTTCAAATCTGCCGCCATTGTCATGTGGAATTTTTTTGATTATTATAAAAAATGTTTTATGAAACAAAGTATCAACATCTCAACTTTTTTTTTTTTAAGGGAAAGAAAAGTTTTACCAGCAAATTAAGACCAGGTTTAGACGGATAACTTGCAAAGTTTTTCGAGTTACTCTTTCATCTTAATGATTAAAATATTTATTATGAGAGGCTTTAATTAAAAAAATTATTTTCATTTAACTAAACCATAAAAGATAAAACTGCAAAATAGAGAGGAAGCACGTATATGAGACTTTGGTCATAAATGTGTTGCCAGTAATGCATGAGATTAGTTTTTGTCCATATTGTTCGAATAGTTAAGTAAACACATATTTTTGCCCATGGTATTTTTGTCCATATTGTGGGAATAGTTTAGTACTCATATATTTTTGCCGGTGGCATTTTTGTCCTTCCAAATATTTAAAACTTCTTCTTCTACTTCTAAGAAGAAGCATGTTATTTCTTTCCACCTTTTCTCCGCAACTTAAATGTAACTTCTACTACTAATCAAAAGCACCTAGAAGCTTGATCATACATCTTTAATTTTCCAAAATAATTACCTTTTTAAATTTGAATAAGCATTTTACTTTACTAAGAGAAAGAGGAACCTTGGAACAACTGTCAAGTTATCTCTGTGTGACCTATAGGTCACGGTTTCGAGCAGTGGAATCGCCACTGATGCTTGCGTCAATGCAAGCTGCCTACAGCATATACCCCTTGGGGCGCGTCCCTTCCCCGGATCCCGATGAACACAAAATATTTTGTGCACCGAGCTATCCTTTTTTCACTTTTATTTTCCTAAGAGCTTGGTCAAACAAGCTATAAGTCCTTTCTCCGCGCCCTTGGGGTGGCGCCCAGTGATGTACATAAGATTTTGTACGAGCAGTGTCAAGTACTGTCAACCTTGACACTATCACACCTCAACTTGTATGTGAGTCTAGATCTGGAGCAATAGATGTTCTAAAACTTGTATCAAAATAGATGTTTGTGTGCATTATTTTTCAGTCATTATTTTTAAGTCAGTGTCTATCTATTATAGACCCTTGTGATCCGGCCCTTACCCAGAGCCCACGCATAACAGGAGCTTAATGCACTAGGCTGCTCTTTTGAAATCATTGGGGGGAAACAGAAAACCAACCATTTACCAAGCAAAAGCTATATGGAACAAAAATATTAGATGATAAAACATGTATGATAATCAATAAAAGCAAGAAGGCACACTGGCGATAGTTTATTCTCCATTCAGAAGATAAAAGCACAACAAAATTGAGAAAACTCTATAAAACGAAGCAAAAGATGCAAAGCATCTGTAATTCTTGAACTCCCATTTTCCATCATTTTCAACCATGTATTAAACTGTTTACTTCTTTCTTGAAATTCCAAGCCTGCCGCGGAAATCTTCCTCCATCAGAGGAATACCATCGCGCAACTTGATCTTTGGTTCCCAGCCTATTAACTCTTTTGCCTTTGTGATGTCCGGTTTTCTCTGCCGAGGATCATCTGGAGTGTTTTCCACTGTGATAATTTTCACTTCCGGATTGATGAGCTGTCGCAGAACAACAAAATTTATGTCAATTACCATCTAATGGTAATACTACTTAGTACAAAGTACAAATTTGTAAGGGATTGAGGCATAGTAATTGTTGTTGTACAGTGCAATTTTTTAACATGTCCCTTTAAATAGTGAAAATAAAATGATTACCTCCTTCACATTCTCCGCGAGTTCAATCATCGTGAATTCACCTGGGATGAGGAATCAAATTAATAATGACCAATGCAGTATAATTTTTGAGTTTAACTTCTATACACTAAAAAGGCAGCCCGGTGCACAAAGCATCCCGCATTCACGCAGGATCCAGGGAGAGGTCGCCCCCAAAGGGTGTGATGTAGACGGCCTACACTAATGTTTCCTCGGCTTGAACTTCTATACATTGACACTACAAAAGAATTTTATGTTATCGGGCCTAAAAGATAACTACAAGTAATCATACATGATAAATGGGACTAGTAATTTGGAAAATAAGGCACGTAACTTGCTACTACAAGTTAAAATATACTGATAGTGTAGACGTTAAAATATACTGATAGTATAGACGTTCTTTACACTGTCAGTGTATATAAGTTAAATAAAAAACGAACCTGGATTTCCAATGTTAATTGGTCCAGTGTTATCTCCCTCCATAAGCCGAATAAGGCCATCAACCTATTCAGAGAGAAAGGAAGGTAAAATAAAAGGCAACTGTTCTGAATACCGAATTCATATTTAAATGAAAAAAAAAAAGATTTCAAATTTAATGGCTCGAATATTTTCACTTACCATGTCAGAGACATAACAAAAGCTGCGTGTTTGTGTTCCTGGCAACTGGACAGTCAACGCTTCATCACTGCAGAGTGCAAGAATTAGGTTGGTTCGTTGTTATCAAACTAATTTTAGGTAATAAAGTTGAAGGGAATTATTAACAGAAACATTCAGAATATTACCGAATTGCTTGGGCAATGAAGTTGCTGACAACACGACCATCATCAATATTCATTCGAGGACCATAAGTATTGAAGATTCTAGCAATTCGGATTTCTGTTTTCGGATCATGTTAAAAGAGAAGGAAAGAAATGCATGAGCTGGAGTCCAAAGCAAAAAATGCAAAATAGATTTATGCATACACAGGAAGACATTGTTTTACCAATTCCATGTTGTCTGTGATAATCAAACATCAAAGTCTCAGCCACTCTTTTCCCTTCATCATAACAACTTCTAACTCCTGAAATTTGCATACAATTGTTATCATACAAAATGCTTGCGCAGATCCTTATAGTGAAAGGTAAATAATCATGGGATAACTACAGTTGGGCCGCCCAAAAAAACATAGCCGGCAAATGTATATGTCTTGTAAATGTAGTATAAATATACAAAAATATACATATATACATATCATATACATGTCATATACATAACCAGTGTATATGTTTTGTATATTTGGGCTACCGCCGGTAATTATTTTGGGCCGCCAGGCCAAAAATGAAAAAAAACCTAATCATTTTTGGTAAAAGAGAGAAAATATTCAGCCAGCAAATACTGAGAATGACACCATTCAACATTTCAACTATATTCTTATGAGTTTCTCATAGAGAAGAAACCCCTTTATTGTTATATATGATTTCAGGCACCTGGAACTTAGATATTCAAGGCCTTTTTGCCTTTTAGACAGAAGATGGTTCAGCGTTAGAACAAAAATCTGATACTGTAATATCATAAAGCTAAAAGTATACCAATTGGATTAACATTGCCCCAATAGCTTTCGTCTTGAGGGTGCACGAGTGGATCTCCATAAACCTCAGAAGTCGATGTGAGTAAAATCCTGTTTGCACAACAGATATTATGAGAATGAAGATCTACATTACCAAAAACCATTATTAAGAGAAGCAGATTCTGACCTTGCCCCAGTTCGCTTGGCAAGTCCCAACATGTTCATTGTTCCAAGTACATTTGTCTTAATTGTCTACAAATAAACCAACAGATCGAGACCGTAAATGGTACTATTGTGGAAATCTAACTTCACAACGACTAGTTTGACAAATGCAGATAAACGAAGGAAACTTATGAAAAAGAATAATAATGTCGATTACTAACCTTAACAGGATTATACTTGTAAAAAATAGGGGAAGCAGGGCAAGCAAGGTGATAAATTCGGTCAACTTCAATCAACAATGGCTCAGTAACATCTGCATAAGCAGAAAAAACGTTACCACGATATAAACAAGTTGGTTATTGAAAATAACGAGTCGCTCAAACATATCGATGAAATAAGAATCACAAAAAGAAGCTTTACCATGGCGAATTAGCTCAAATCTTGGATGACCAATCCATTGCTTTAGATTATCCTTTGATCCAGTAAAGTAATTATCGACAACAACCACCTGAACATAATGCAAAAAAGTTTATTTAAATGTACTCATATTTTAACCCTCCGTCACTGATTTATGAGGATGCAGTAGTTACAAAGATACACGATAAAACCAAGCCGAAAAGTCTATACCTCATTCTTCTCATTTTCCATCAATTTGTCAACAAGGTGAGAGCCAATAAATCCAGCACCACCAGTCACCAGAATCCTCATGTTAGCCTGTGATTCAAGCAGTTAACAAATAGTACAGAATATTAACCAATATCATTCGATCAACTATGTCAATACCGAACTAGTAGGGAAACATTGACCAATATCCAAAATCAAATGAGGTTCAACGAAAACCGGAGGGTAAAACTAATTAAGATCCAATCAAGCAAATCCTACATTAGGGATCATTTGATTTACAGTATTACCAAAAACAATTCCAACATAAAATTCCGCATAAGTTATAAAATGTTTGGTTGGTCATATAACGAAAAAATCACCGCCATAACTTAATTCAGTGTTTAGTTGGCCTTATCAAAGCTCCACATTGCTACCGGCATAAGTGATACAAGAACATGTGCATTATTTTATGCATGATCGAATGTGGAATGAAAATACATATATTAGCAATACTCGTATAACAATCCCTACATTATTATTCACAGCATAAACACTTGTTGTGTTACATAATTACTACATGAACCAAATAACCTCTACTGGATTACCACACAAGATTGGCTATGTGTATTACCTGGAAAAATTTTGCCTTTCGCAATGGTGAAGGCTCTGGTGGTGGTTTTGTTGATACATGATTGTTTCCATTGGAAGCCATTTTCAGATCACTTTAATTCTGTACCCAAGATCAATCAAATAAATAAAAAATATAAGATTCAAGATAATCTCCCCGAAGCTGAACTGAATTCAATCGAAGTCATTACTATACAAGCATTCAAAAGGGAGAAACCATATAAAAAAAAGATCAAAACTTTTAATTTTTTTTATATCCAAATAGCCAGATTTTACATACCAAATTAAACCCCATGTTCAAAACACATGAAAAACTCTTTCCGGAGAATCAATAACGCGCACACACAAAAAAAAATAAAAAAAAAAATTGTAAAGCAGAAAGAAAAGCTAAAAATTTTGATTCCCTAATTGAGAAGAGAAAAGATACAGAAGAAAAAAAAAATGCACCTAAATTAACTCCAATCACCTTGTAGTCCTTAAATGGTAGTGAAAACTGAATTGCAGAAGGGAAAAGGCTGAATACAAGTATATATAGTAAAAAATAAATCATATAAAATATATAAAGAACATGAAAAAATATGTAACCCCACATCACACCAAACGTTACCAACAAGAGAGAGAAATTTGAGAAACCAAAAAAAGAAAAGAAAAAAAGAGGCAATCTTTCAAAATAAGCAAACTCAAAAAACAAAACAGAAAAACAGGCAGAGTGATAACAGGAAGATTTAGAGTGAAATCAAAGCTTCCTAGCAACTGTAAAACAGACCCACAAAGAATGATTACAGATCTGAATCTAATTCTTGTTAAATCAAAATTAGCAAATAATTAAAAAATTCATTAGCAAGAAAGCAAAAAATGGAAAACAGAATCGATCTTTTTAATACCCATTACCTAGTGAAACTGAAATTTATGAATCTAATTCATTGAATATCAAACAATTTAGTCAAAACAAAAGTATCAGATAAATTCCTTTGTTAAATCAAAATCAGCAAATAAATAATTAATTCAGCAGCAAGAAAACAAAAACAAAAAAAAAGATCTTATTTTTATACCCTTTACCTCTTGAAACTGAAATCTTTCAATACACTAGCAAACAAAGAGAGGATATATATATATATACCTGTAATATATATATACACAAATACACAGTGCAATAAGGTGAAGAGTTTTGGGGAATGAGAGGTAATTAAATCCAAGATTATGTTGGGATTAGGTTAATAATTAGGGGGGTTTTAATACGAAAGTTGAGATCTTGAAATTAATTACTTACTGTTATGGATTGATTTGTTTTGAGTAAATAGTAAGTAATATAGTGCACGTAGGATACAGGTCGGTAGTTGTCTTTTGTTTCTTAGTAGTAGATTTTTACTAATCCTATTTGCTGACGTAGGACTTACGTAACGTATATGGCAATTCAGTGTCCGATAATGTATAATTTATTGCGTGAGATACACAAAGGAAAATCAGCGTAAGGTGTTATAATAAATAATTTATCTTATTATGGCCAACTAATTATAGTTATTTTTTAATTGATTTAATAATATAAAAATTACTATTTATAATGTATATAAGTTAAACTTGACTGGTGTTACCAACAAAACAATTTTTTTTTGGTAATTAAAGTATTTTATTTACCAATGAACTAATATGTACAAGATCAAAATTTGAAACAAGACTGGACAGCCCCGAGTCTCAATCCTCCTCTATCTACTCATTTACATTCTTGCCAGAAAAGAAGAAACAACTAGCCGATAGAAGTTAAGATCCTCGATCTTCCTTACAAGCTTAGCCCTCAAAGTACCCCTACATACTACTTCATGTATGATTAATCTAACAAGAACTTCAGCTGGTCGACTCTCCCCCTGAAAGGTCCTCTTGTTTCTCTCTTGCCATAAATGGTGTATACATGCTGTGAATGTCATTCTATAGATTTCTACGACAACTGTTCTCCCATTCATATGTGTCTCCATCCATAATAATTTATCATATCAGTGTAAGGTTCTTCTTGATACCTTGCCATGTCATCAGTTTAGTCCAAACAATGCTAGATAGCGCACAACCAAAAAATATATGGTCTATTGACTCGGCAGTATCCTTGCACAAGGAACAGTCAAGATCTTGAGTAATCCTCCCCCC